AAGAGGACCTCAGAGGATATATGATACCTTCACATAGGAAGAGATGAGAGGAAATGTTGAATATAGAAAAGCGCTCATGGGCAGATTCGCCTTTTCAGCGGGGCCGGGCTGCCCCAATTAGAGATGTAGATGACAAAGTACACCTGTGTATCTGTGTGTTCTCTTGTCTTGTCTGCGTCTGTGCTGCTGTCTCTGCTGTTTGATGTTCCACTGATCTCCTGAAGGCATGAGGAGGGTATTCATTTATCAAGGATAAGTAATCCTCCATCACAACTGTCTCTTTATATTTCTTACGTGAGAGCGCGCTCATGTACACACACATTCCTCGCCGAGGCATCTATAAGGATGACATTGATTTTGCAAGGACGCTGCTGTACAGCTATAAGGCAAGTCTAAAACACAGCTGTAATGCATTTAACCCCCTACGTGCCACAATCAACAGAACTACTTTCAGGTATTTATTTATTGATATCTGTTGGTGATGAAATGATGAGACGTAAGCATTTATCATTTCATCACTATTGACCGTTTTACATATTTATCATTTAGTGATGCATGACATTAAAGTTTCTGGCTGACAACAATATCCGATATTAACGTTTCTGATATCGCCGATAACCGATATTACCGATGTCGATTTTCAATTTTTGTTCACGCCGAAAAACGAGTATAAGTAAGCACTGTGAGAGACTATTCAAAAGAAGCCCAGACCACATTAGACCACATAGTCTTCTTTATTAGACAAAACACTAATATCGGCCGATACCGATGTGGTCGCCGATACATCGTGCATCCCTATTATCATTCAAAAATACAAACTTTATACAAAGAGGAGAATGTTGTTTTGAAGTGAGCAATGTCAAAAAGATTTAATGTTGTCACGTCTCCAAAAGTTGCTGACACTGTAGACACAGTGCTCACTAGTGGGAAACGCAGGGTCTGAACAGTTGTTAAATAAGCAGATTCCCACATAGTAAATGGAAAACACCATTGATCTTAAACAGGATTTGCAATTACTAAGAGTATTTCTAAATTATTTTAAATTAATATTTCATGAAACAACCCAGCTTTGACAAGTGATAAATCCCAGATGTATCACTTTGCAGCCTGCACTGATTGATTTTTTTCACCACTAGGGGCAACACAACACAAAAAAAACTCTCCATCCATCTATTACCTATACCTGCTTTATCCTATTCAGAGTCAAGGGAAGCTGATGTTGGACGAGAAGCGGGATACACCCAGGACGGGTCACCAGTTCATGGTGAGGCTTACACAAACAGACAAACAACCATGCACATTGAGCCGAGAGAGGAAGCCACAGGAAGAAAACGCAAAGTTCACACAAGAGATCCCATCCAATCAGCAAGTTCAAACCCTGAACCTTTTTGCTGTGAGGCGACGGTGCTAAAGATTACACCAACCACTGCCAGTTTACTAATAGCAAGGCAGGCCAATGGGAGGCTAGTGTGTTGCATGGCCACCACTGGTGTGTGTGTGTGTGTGTGTGTGTGAGTAAGAAACTCTTAACAACTTGCCTATATAGAGATCTGACAGACACTGAGTTGTATTTTTCAACTATTCACTTTCATCTTCATCTTGCTAGATGCCAACCAGCTCGTCATCTAACATTTTCTACCTTTTGGTGCCTGGTTGTATGCAGTGGGTGCACCAGAGTTTTCTCCCTGAAATTAACTGCCTGCTGCAGCTGGAAACAAGGTCAAGAAGAACAAAGACACCGAAACAAAGCAGCAAAATCGCAATCCTTTTCAATGAGGTGGACGCCGGCAAAAATGATGCATAGAGCTGAGGGGAACTTCAGAGTCAGGTAATAACTTCGAGTGGGTTCGTCATTACAAGGGAAACCTTACACATAACAAGCAGTAATGCTTTTCACAGTTAATAGAAAATGATTAACTGCAGGTGTAAATAATGCTGGAAATAGTGCAGGTGTAAAACCAAAATAGGAGTTCTATTTATTCTGTCCTATTAGGAAAAAAAAGTAAGACTGGCCAGCAGAACATAATGTAGGTAATGAATTCAGCACAGCACAGGTGACCCATTCATTCCTCTCCATTTCCTACAGAGAAAGCAGTAACGGCCAGCTCAGTATCAGAACATTATCACAGGAGGAAATGTCACAGAGCAACGCACCCCCTGTCTTTCAACCCACTGTTCTTCCAGCCGACATAATGTTACTGTCATAACCAAATGAGGGCTGGGAGGAGGTGGGCGGCTTCAGACTGCTCAGCTTTGCTCTAACAGGGAAAGTCCTATCCAAATTCCAACTCTGACAGAATGCAGGATGCAGGCGCCCCCGCCCCCCTGAGATCAGAGCAGCAGGAGGAAAGCTGGGAGCGCCGTGGATAAACTGGAGGAGCCCAGTATGACTCATTGGAATCAGGTGTTCCAATGATAACACAGGAGTTAGGGATTGTCCGTGAAAGCGGTTGATGTAACCAGATTTTTTGATAACACAAATATTTTCCTGATTCAGTGATCATTTTTTTGTTAATCATTTGGGCTGAATTTCCACACGTTTCATAGCAGCTCAGCGACTGACCATTGTTCACGGAGAATGAACAATGGCCAGCTCACGTCTGCGTGATAACAGAGATGAATCGCTGATTTAAACATGGACTTGGATGGTAAGGAATTATGCACAGATCCTTCGCCATAAATAAGATTCATTAAGACGCTGATAAATGCACATTTCATATTATCGCTGTATTTCCTCATCAGGGCACTTTCTGAATGAATCAATACTGGTCTTGGTGGTGATTAGAGCGCTGATGGATCAGAGCCAGGCTGCCCTTTTAATGGTCAGATTTTCCATCAACATGACTCTGGATCACTCTTATTCATCATAATAGGTAAGGACATGGGCATGTTGAAACCTTCGTTTCCCTGCAGCATCATTTAGGTGACGGATTGTGAATATGGCCTGTCACTCCGCCACATAGTCAGTCACCTGATTAAGAGAATTCATATTCAGAAGGTCTCACTTTCATTAATCCAGGTCTCGACTACACTGAAAGAAAGAGACCTCTTGAAAACATAAGTGACCTTGAGATAATCTATGTCGCTTCTTATGTCTTTTCTGTTTCAGACACGCTCATCCTCTAAGCCCCTCTCTGTCTCCCTTACAAAGTGGCATAAGAAAACAAAACAGACCATGAGGGAACAGCAAATGCCTGTCTCTTAGAAACTCATCACTGTGACATATGACATTGACAGACAGATGCTGGAAAACAGATTTTCCCCTCTACCCCAAAGACATTTATCTTTCACCCCCTGTTTGTTCCTGCGTGGATCAAATAGTAGAAGATGTGAGCCAGATGCTAGACTGTCTGCTGACTGCACTCAGTTACCCAACCCTGCAACTGATTGACTGACATTTTTCTGTTAACGTATCCACATTTTAAAAATAAACTGCACACATTTGGCGTCAGAATGCCTTACCGTAGGGCCTCAATGAGCCAAAGTTGATGCGAAAAGCAAAACAAACATAATGCTTGTCGCTGCGTTTAGTGCCTTGGTAATAAAAACTTTGTATTGAAATCCTGCAGAACACAAGGCAAAGATCCTAATGTATTAAACCCTACATAAATTCACCACATTCTCAACTTACAGGTTACAAAATGGGTGCTCAGTCACCTTTGGAGAGCAGTGCTATTGGACCTTTAAAATGAGGAAACACTGCCATCTGGAGGGAGTCGTACTCTGTCGTGAAAGTGGCTAAAAGCATGTCAAACAAACCGAGATGAATACTGGCTTTATCAAAGTTATTTCAGGAACAGTGTGTCCTCTGGAGTGGCATAACTCAACTTCTGTTAAGTTGGAAGCACAACAACATGTCAACTAGTCTCTATAAATAATAGAATATTTAGAACACTAATAACTCCATAAAATAATATTTATATTAAGCTGACATTTCAGTACAATTATCCCAAACGATGAAACCGTGGGATAAAACGCTACACATGCATAGTAAATGCACTATTTATGCCTTGTCAGAAACATAAGAAACAGACGCACCATTTGGTCATTTACAAAGTGCTTTTTTTCCCACCCTCCTTGCTGGATGACTCTAAAAATGGCACCCTGCTTTTTCCTGACTGAGAACATAAAGGATACCTGGATTTGGTGGCAGCCAGTTCAACAAATCCACAAGCCTAAATAACATTCCTTCACTGAGGGAGAGGAGATCATTAATTGCGCCTCTGTGGCATTTTTATGGAGTTTTTGGAAATGGCTGGATGGCTCCAGCAAAGAAGAAAGAACGGAGGAAAGGTGACAGAGACGGAGTGCAACGGGAACCCGCGAGGGCACCACATTCATCAGTTTCGAAAACATATGGAGTGGAAAGCCATGTCTGACACACATCTGAGCCAGTGGGATCAAAGAAACAATGCTGTTTGAGGTCATCCAAAATATATCAAGACTACGTCCACGCTAAGCTGGTTGAAGATCATTCGTCCCCCTGCGTATTAGTTATCTGCCATCCTGAACTCAGCCTCTGTTTCTTAACTACCAAAAACAAGCTTTATGCAAAGGCAAGAATTTTCGAAACAGTAGTCTCTCATGTTACTGTGGATTGGGAAAATAAAGCCGCTGCAAAATAATCAGCGAGTAAATCCCATCGTCTTAGGCTGTGCGACAGTTTAAAGGGAAACTCTAGAGAAGACACGCATCCAGGATAAATGCTGTTGGTTTTTCCAACCAAAAGACAGCTGATTGTGAATTTCTCCACCGCTTTTTCTCACTGTTGTTAGTAAAATAACTTAAAATGGTTTGTGAGGTGACAAGCCATTACACAGCTAAAATGCATTTTTAGCTGTATCCACCATCGTCCAAAAGCTTAGGACACAAACTGCTTTGACAAATCCGTCAAGGAAACAAAGTTTTTTATTTTTTTTATGGCGGGACAGTCCTTTACATTGTCAAGTATTACCATAGCTCATTCAGCAGGGTGAAACAATAAGCCAGGTTCAACACAAAGCTTAGAAATAAGGATCAGTTTTAGGTGCTCACCTTTGGTTAAACATCCCTCTGAAGTTGTAATTAGCTCTGTAGTTGGGCATGGGCTTGGGATCCAAAGGCCTGTAGATAGCTGGCTCGCCCCTCTTCATGGCCAGACCATTGAGCTCCACTGTGGGTGTTATACTGCCTGTGTGCAAAGGCAAGAACAGAAACATGAAAACCAGGACGATGACAAGTTTTGAGCAAACATAGACGTACAATGATTTGCAAAAACAACATATAAAGCTGTGTTTTGTCACATTAGCAAGTAAAGCCTTTTTCTGAAAATCATTGAAGTCATCTCTGAGGAAATCTAAACACATTGCATCACATTTTACAAAACACACACAGGAGCAGCAACTGACACCATGTTAAATCATGAATGCCTGCTTTCTACCCCAAAATTGTCAAGCCTCCTTACCTGCCTGATTCATGTACCGTTAATCCCACAGGTTCCCCACTGACGTTACATAACCTATCACAGGACTTCCTTAATCTCATTAAGAGCTGGCACTGAAGTCTTTTACTACTACAACGCCACAGAGGGCAGGAGAGGTAAGACCAGGCTATTCGGCCAGAGATAAAACATAAGCTCACCATTGGGATTAATTGAGAGGGTCTGTACAGGCTTTGTTCTGATTATTGATTTTTTTTTTTTAAATAGCACTCGTGGTTCGAGGGCTACACCTGAAAGCCTTACTTGTTGACACACAAAACCAAAATACCAAAACATTCCACTAACAGTGGGGACAGAAAGGCGTTGCAGGGATTATAATGCTTTGTCACAACTCATCCCTTCTCCTTTAGCACTCTACTTTATAATCACATGTGCACATGAATGTAATGCAAAACTTGTTCTGTGATAAAACATGTGAGTTCTCTCCATCTCCCTGCAGTTCAACATTGTATATTTCCAAACTGCACCTAGCTGCAGAAATAAATGACCAGTAGTGGGCACTAATCCAATAACAACGAGTTAGTTTTACAGTTTTCTGGCATAAAGCACAAGGAGTTACTCATTGAAAGTGTAAATGCATGCACTCTAGCTAAGGATAAAAAGTACTGCAGATAGAAGCATGTAGAAAGAAACTGCAGACATTCTCAAAAAATGGTTTAAGCCACAACAAACAAGTAAAAACTGAGCTAAATGCAATACAGATGCAAAGGTTTAAAATAAATAAATAAATAAATCCCCTATTTTTCTAGCAGGTCTTACACTGACTGGCTGCTATAGCCAGAATTAGCTTTCTGTAGGTGCAGCTAGTGGAAGCATAGCATTAAAAATATTAAACACTAATCTGACATGGATAAGTACATGCAGAAAGGGTTATGTGCATTTACTAGATATATTCCAGTTGGAAAAAAAAAAAACCTTTCCTGAGTTGACATTAATGCTGATGAAAAACAAGCATCGGTTTGTTTTGCAGCTTTTTCCAATTCAATATTACTCAGCTAAAACTGTAAAAAATAATAATAAATAAATCTATGCATGTGTAAATAAATGTATTCCAGGCATATCACTTCATAACAAGTGGATTTAAAGGTAATCATTCTCGTATGCATTCATTGTTGACAGTATAATGAGACTTTGTTGTGGTTGCCATACCTGGGTTGCTGTTGACGTCAACTTTAGGGGAGCGGGGCGCTGGCCTGGGAAGGACGCTCTCAGCCAGTGCCTTGGCAGCTGTGGAGTGCTGGGCCTTTTTAATGCTGGTGCCCTCTGCCTCCCACACCTGCTCCCCAAGAGTCAGCTGCACTGTGAAGATCTGGAACAGTGACACCCAGAGGGGAAGACGTTACCCAACAGCGTCTGCATTTTATTTATTTATTTTTTTTTACCATCATTCCTCAAGAGCCCATATGGCAGGAGGATGTAATCAGCATGACCAATAAAAATGTACAAAAAAAAAAAATAAATTAAAAAGTCAGAATCATATACTTCATCATACATGTATGTAGCAAGAACAAGCATGAAACTGAACAACCAAAAAACCACTAAGATGAGGATTTCTCCTGATATTTACATCGTATTACTTCATGTCAACACCTGAACTCTGATTCCGAAAAAGATTTTTTCTTCTGCACACATACAGATGACTGTCATGTCCCAGCTCCTTACCTTAGCATGTGCAGGACCTCTCTCATTGAGGAGCTTGTACTGTGGTTGGATCCTGTTGAAACGGGCTAACTCATTCACCAAACACATTGGAGTTTTCTCTTTAGGGTTTGCCATGTTCTCCTGGGGCGGGCCTAAGACAGAGCACAGCAAAACATGATATATGAGCAATATGGTAAAGACATGAGAGACAGACATGTATGCATGAATAATCATCATGTTTTAATATTGAATTATATCATTTTAATGAGTGAAAGGGCACGAGTTATTCATTTATTAAAGCAAGCAGCCTGTGCAGCTGTTACATGTAAGAAATGCAGCATAACACAACTTTTATATCCAATTAAGTCATACGCAAAAGTGAAAAATTTCATTTGATTTGTATGAGAGTATTTAAGCTCTTTTTCCATTCAGCAGATGTGCAGCACCTCAGGGGAGGCATCTTGCTGTCTAATGATTGAGACATAAAAATGTGGCTTACAGTGCAGTGAGTTAGTAATAAAATTAGTAAGAAATTAAGTGTATAATAGGGTCACAATATCATGTAGCAAGCATTTGTGCAGAGATCCTTTTGAATTTAGGTTAGGTTATGAGATTCAATAAGCAGTGAAGAGAGCAGGATCTGGAGGGATTTATGTCAGCCAGTTAATTGGCTATTTTAGGGCGACCTTTTTACTATAGAATAATAAATAGTACACACAGTGGTACTACTACAATGTTGAGGCAGGTTGTCTACATAAATTTTTCCTTAGGGCTTGAATCAATATCAGTATTACTTAGATATACAACACAAGTGCTAACAACACTGAAACACTGCATCTCCCTCATATGACCAGCAACAATTCCAAATAAAAGCTGATGAAGAAATAAGACGAGTCCATCATTTGTTGGAAATCACAGAAATTAACAGAATAATAATTAAGGCCACTCGTAATGCAAAATAATAACTAATATCCCCCAAAGGGAAACTGTTCTGCTGGTGTTGTACCTGGCGGTGAGGCAGACACAGGGGCGTCCCCATATCCGACTGCAGGAGCAGGGCAGGCGGGTGTGGGGGCCGGGCCTGTGCCGTTGACGGAGGGCTGCAGACCCAGAGATCCTGCGCTGGCCATGGCCGTCGGGGGAACTCCGGGGGAGAGGCCAGGACCAGCCAGGGGCGCTGAGGTCTGTACTTTCACTTGAGCCATGCTCTATTCCTGAAACAAGGCCACATGTAATAACTTGTAACTCCATTAGACACACTCTCCATTGTATAGACTGTAAACAGATGAGAATAGAAAAGTCAATCACTAATGAAGTGCACATTATACTGTACAGACACCATTAAGCATTCGTGCACGAGTCTACATTTGCATGCACAGATAAATACACTCTACTTTTTGCACAATTTAAAGCTCTTTACTGTCATTTGACAGACTTCTGCGGGCTAAGCCTAGAGAACAGACTTCGAACTGAGCAGCCCTCGGCTATCTCACATTCTGATCCACAAGCAGCTAATACACCCAGACAATGAACCTTTATTTGAAGGAGCTTTGCTCATGTTACTGCTGCCAAACTCTCCGGAAAAAGGAGGAATCCTGTGATAGTGGCCCGAACAAGACAATGGATGTTCAATCAGATTTTGTTTGGGACTAAAGAGAGGTACATGGGCGTACATCCAGCAGACAGAGGTTAGCATTGACAGTAGAGTGGGCACAACAATGCAGTGAGAGTCAGCAAAACACATATTTGATTACTTTAGCTTTGAAGGCATGTGTGCAATATTATGGTCACACAGTTGGTGCCTGTGGCTATTTCATACAAGTAACATAATATGCTAACCAGTGTTTTTCATCAACAGAAGATGAAGACGTAGATAACTGCAAAAACTCAATTAAAAAGAGACAAACCACATCTACCAAAAAACGGCCCCAAGACTGGTTTACATCAAGCACTGACGGGGGAAATGAGGGAAATTTATTTCCACGTCCCCACAGAGGTCAGAGCAAAAGGTTGGACACAGAACTGAACCCCTGGAGTGGAGAGAAATTTACTGTCTTGCCCTTGGACACTTGATGAAATGCCAGTTTTGAATCTGGCACACTGGTGATTGATAACGCTGTCAGAAATCTGAGTCTATCTCATTAGATAATATCAAACACAACAGGGCTGTAGATATTACACAGGCCATAAAGACAGCTTTTAGATCCCAACTGTTTTCATGGGCTTCACCCTGCAATCATGATTACAGCTGCCACCTGTCCATACAGCCCAGAGACCAGGCTGCACAGTAAACAGAGCGGTTTGCATTGCTATATCACACCCGATATCGACAACGTGCACCAGATCAAATGCATTTTTACTCTGGTGTGTGACCTTTACCCAGTGCATGCAATCAAGTTTTTCCCTGTCCATGCATCTTGCGTGCTCGTGAGGTTCTCGGGGTCACAAACCCTCTTTCCTTTACTGTCTTGCACTAGCGTGCACGAATTGCACAGCAAAACAGCAACCTCGGTGCATGCTCGTCTTTCGCAGCAACTTGAATATGGAGGTTGCTGTAACGTTAGGGTTGACTGACAGAGCTACAGGGCTGTCTGCAACCCCTGAACCTACATTACAGCCTCGACTGTGTCCAGCTTTAGCAAGGAAGCTAACGTTACCACCAAGAAAACGGCGCTTCCTCCAAATGTCAGCTGCTAAAAACACGCCAACAGAATGGCCAAGCGTGCATGCTGTCATGGATATGCCGCTGTGATTTCTCCTGATGAACATATACAACCCAGCCGCCTCCAGTTACGCTAGTTTAGCCGGTTAAAGCTCATCATGGCTGATCGGCCGAGCACCCCTCTTGCTAGCATCTCCATACCGCCCCATCCTCCACGAAAGTCTGGGGGAATTTCAGCCCACCCAACATCATACACGGGCTGGCGACAGCGTGGCAAATAACCCGGAGACTATCCGACGACAAAGGGACAAATATTTTAGGGTATTTTTTACCTTTGTCCAGGGCCAGACCCCAGTTACACCTCCAACATTGGCAAACACTAAAGAGAACTGGATGGAAGAGGGAACAGACCACGTTATTTTTCTGGGTAAAAAAAAGGAAAAACTACCCATTAGAAGCAAATGACTAACCATTGTGATATTTCATGTGTAAAGTTTGTGTTGTGTCCATTTTTTTCAGTGCGAAATGTTGCAAATCGTTATCTGTGGATCGTCGGAGTTTGTGGTGAATCCTGAATGAATCAGCCACCCCCGCCGCGACAGGAATGGTTTGGTCCTGGTTTGCTTCCTCAGAGCTTACAGTGTAACTTTTGATTCAACAGCAAAATTAACCTTTTCAGACTTGTTTTCTGCACAGGGGACTTACATTGGGTGTTAATTTGGTTTTCCAACCTTATTTTTACTTTATGCATAATTATCGCTAAAAGTTAATATGAAGATCAGTGTATAAAACTTGGAAAATATAATTTTACTGTCCATATTTTGTTCTCAGGGAAGCCTTTCCATCAAGTGAGTTTAATTATACAGTTAATTCTACAACTTAGAGGTGGGCTGTCATTTTGCTTCTTTTTTTTTTTTCTTGTCGGGAGAACATAAGCTCCCATAAAAGAGTACTTTCTGCTGCTTGTGAGGGTTTACAGCTTTGGCTCAGGAGCCCTTCAACAGGAGAATTCAAAGGAAGAGCAGCAGATGTGTCTCACTAACCACAAGACCACAAGGTCTGGATTCAGAAACACCAAGTTCCTTGTGCAGAAATCACAGTGGGGACTGTTGTGTTCTTGCAAAGAAGACAGGTAGCGATGATTCTGGGATCCCACAGATGCAAATAAAGTCCAGTGTACACCTTTTATCTATAATAGGGAATAAGGACCTACAGGTTAAAATACACATGTAATGCAGAACCTACAGAGCCTGCAGATATCTGACAGGTACTGTTGTGTTACAGCCAATAGAGGGTGCCACTACACCACTTTTGCAGTCCTGGTTGGCTCCTTCACAGAAAGACATGAACAGAATGCTTTCCTTTACAAAGAAAACTTTGTACTACTGTGCATAATAAAACCCAGGGACTAATCATTAAATGAGAACACAGTAAAACATCTGGCATTATAAAGGGCACAAACTGGACTTGTATTTGCTTGAATAAATAATTTTAGCATCTACAAAACCTATAGAACCAAGTTAGGTTCAGATATTTTTTCTCAAACATATATAGCACAATTTCCTTTTTCAAATAAACACAGGACCTACAGTGAGCTGAATAAAGTTTAACTCTAGAGCATCTGTGTCAAATTTTAATAATCATTTCTTAAAATTCGACAAAAGATGTAATTTCACCTGGTTGATGTCACATACTGCTCATTACATCCGACTAAATGAGCATCACATGTAAGCTTGTCCACTATTTCTGCAAGATTATCTCAGTTTCATGTTTCACAGTTTTTATCCACATGCATATTTGTGGATACTTCTGGCAAACACAGGACAATCCCACAAACAAGCGCACAAGCCGTGTCCTTCACCATTTGTAGACAGACTGAATTCCTTACGTTTGAAATATCTGATAAAACCCACTGACCCAATGAGTCACATTCAGGCATGCACTTTCTTTCTGAGTTTGTCAGTATTGTGTATCCCTTTTGAAAGAAAACAATACATAAAAAGGCTTTTACAGGATCCAGAACAGACACAGAAAAACGCATATTCACATACTATGCAAACCAAGGTTGAATAAAAGTGAATCTTTGCTTTTATTATTGATTATGAAAATGAACAGGCACCTATTACATGGAGCTTGCACATCCCAGAACAAAATTTCAAATATAAATAACACACCCTCATTAGTGTTGATCACTCACAACAACCTGCAAGCTAAGAGTTCAAACCACATTGAAAAGGAAAAAAAAAAAAAAAAAAAGCAACCTAAGAAAAAAAAGAAAAAGAAAAACATCACATCCAAACCCTTGTAACATAGTCACTCAAGTTTTTTCAAATCTCCTCTGATCTACTGCCCATTGGATGAAGGCCTTTTGTCTCTGCACGGATGCTGTTGTGACTGCATTTACACAAGCATTTCAGTCCTACTGTCTTTTCCTCCGAGCACAGCGACAGCTAACTAGACCCATTGCAAAGAAGCTAAAAAAAAATAAAATCATTGGTTAAATAGATGTCTTTAAGTTATCAATATAGTATTTTTTTGTTGTTGTTGTTGTTTTGAGATAGCGGTGTGCTGTGGTAATCTCCTCTACAGTATAGAGTATCATCACATTCACTCAAGTTCATTCAAGAAACTCAGCTAGACCCTGGGAAAAAAAAAAAAAAGTAAATACAAACAACCCAAGATGGAAAATTCAAGTATCTCTGACTGGATGGCGATAAACATTTCTTTAGGGATGGAGTGATTACAGTCTAAAATGACCACAGCCTCTGGAGGTGAGCTTTGTAAGATCCATCCCATAAAACATTACCTAAGGTATGGAAAGACTAAAAGTTGCCACAATGTTTGATGCCAATAAGAAAAAGTAGGGTTTAAAATTGCATGCACCCCCACTGTAAAACTACTTCTTTTTTTTTTTTCTTACCAACTTACATGTTTGTAGCTGACTGTACACATCCTAACTAGCAAAAGATGCAGACTAACTTCCAATGAAATAAAGCACTCCTATTATCATTCTGCTATAAAGTAAATGCATCCTCTGCTAAGTTCTTTCACATCATCCAACAATTTAAAGACTTATATATACAATAGTTTCAGACGTGTTATACGTTTACAACATAACAGTCTCTTTTGGTGAAAATATAGTTAAATTCAAAATATCTGATAGGTATCTTTTTAGAGGTGATCTCTTTATTGAAAAAAGTACCTGAGCCAAAACTCTGACCAGGGGGAATCACAAAAGCCTTGTCATTCATTGCCGTTCTGGAGATCAAACAAAGATTTAAATTAAATAACAAATACAAAAAAAAAAAAGAAAATCAAAAAAAACGTACTGACCCATCAAAACAACCCCCCTTTTCAAAGCATCAGCTAGTCAAAAAGAAAAAAAAAAGTACAAAAAAAGACATTTAAAATCAAACATTTTAGAAGATTAAAGCATGAAATTAAAAAACAAAACGGTATCATACAAATAAAAATGGATCATGCGACAACGTTCTCTTGCAGACATTCTTTAAATGGAAGAGAGGCCGCTGCACATCCTAAAGGCTGGACTAGTGAACACTACACGAGTTCGGCCCAGCGTTACGAGGAGATGTACACTGAGGTCATCGGATGACTACAAGTTCTATCGTCATATCTGTTTTTATTCCCATCTGTACTGACATTCTGTCCAACGGCAGGAAGAACTGCAACCCGGGTTTCGCCTCGGAAGATGAAGAAAACTGCGTGTACTCTTGATACAGTGGTTAAAAACTAAAACCTTTAAACCTGACAAGTGGAGGACTACTTACAGTACATCTGCAAGTCTGGAATAACGTACTAATAGTGCCTTTTTAAACTAGATACTTTCACAGTGCATATAATAATAATAATAATAATAATAATAACAATAAACAAACAGATGAAGCATTTTCTTGGGGTGTTGATGGTCAGATCCCTTCCAGAAGACGATTAGATTTGGATTTCTCTTTGTAGGCCCAAGCATGCATCCATCAGTTATTATTGCACAACACAAGGACCTTAAAATGCACCCACACACAAACGAAAAAGTAACAATAATAATCTGAAAACAGGAATTATAATTATCTCACTACAAATCCACCTTTCGTGCTCGCTGCAGTACGATCTTTTTTGCCAAAAATCGGTCCGTCTTGGGTGCATCTAAACGCTCCTTTTAATTCGTTTTCTATTTTACAACCGACTAAAACATGCAGCCAACTGCACCGCAGGGGGGAAATGCAGTCGAGAGCCTCCAGCGCATGGTGTCCATTGTTCCAGTCAAAGGTCAGAGTTCAAAGACTGAATGATTAAAAAGTGCTTTACGTAGGTCAGTAGGACTTCTTTCTTCTACGGTTATTACAAAGTTTGTACATTAGCATGTATCATCTGTGAAGGCAAACGAAATATATTTAAATTACATCATAATTACAATTAAAAGCATTAATTATATACCCTAACCAAAAAAAAAAAGGAAAGAAAACAGCTTAAGATTGAAAATACTCACCATGATACCACCATTTTGTTTTCTTTGGATTTTTGTTACATGTTCTTACATAAAAGGAGTTATCAGGCGGTCGTCTCTGCAGAAAAAGCAAAAAAGCATTTAGATTTAACATTTAAAAAAGGGAATCATTTACATCAGCTACTGTTATTTATTCTTGGCACAGTGCAGAGTTACCTTTTCTTTGCAGCTGGACAACATGCTGATAATGCTAAGACAAACTGATTGCACTGAGAGCGCTGGCGACCAATCTTCCGTTAGAATAGATAGACAGATGTGACCATTGCTATACACATGTGGGTGGACAGGTATATTCTCTCCTGTGAACATTACCTACAAAGAAAAATCAGTCAGTGGTTATTGAGATCATTCAGTGAACATACAAGTATAGAAACCCTGTAAAGGTGGTGAGTGATTAATGCTTTAAAAAAAAAAAAAAAAAAAAAGCAGACTAAATCCTTTTACATTTTAAACGGAGTTCAAAGATACAAGTTGGGAAAGTACTTGTCTGGAAGAAGTTGAGATTTTTTCATTAATGACAGAAAATAATGAGACTTGCTGCATAAGCTCAGGCTTAGCCCTCTACAGCGACATGAGGCTCTAGGATTAGGACAGAGGGGCCGGGATGGGGTGAGAGAGGAGAAGGGAGTGTAGGGACAGGAGACTAAGAGAGGACATATGTTTAATAGGGAGGGAAAAAAAAGAGACAAGTTCTATAAAAAGAACTAGTGAATAACAGCCATTGAAATTGTGTAACAGTGAGAACCGAACGGGAAGATACAGCAAGTGTGAGAAGACAGAAACTCAAGACTGAGGTGCTGAAGTATAGAGAGAAGGGGGAGTGGGGTAGAGAGGCTAATGAAGGGTAACAATGGGTTGAGGCAGTCTGGCACCAGACAGGGCCTCACAGGAGAGTGCAGGCTCCACATCACGGGGCTGGAGGGGGTGACGGGGTGAGTGTTACCGATATGAACACAAAGTAAAGCTAGCACTGCGCCCAAAACACCAAGATAAACAAAAGCTCGTCGCTTGCAAAAACTAGCATCTGACATACACAAAGCTCTGTGAACCTGGCATGACCTCACAGAAAACAGGCACTACAGGTAATCTACATGTTGGGTTTCTGCTTTATGTTTATATTGCATCTAATCCTTTGCTTATAATGTGCTCTGTGCAAAACAAATCACCAAAGGACAGTTTATTTTTCAGCTGCAGGTTAGATAGCTAAGGACGTTACCTTGCGCTTCAAGAAATTTCACTTTTTCTAACATATCATTGACCAAATAACTAAATGTTTAAGAAAGAAAGCAATCATCAGGTTAATTAATTATGAAAACAATACATTTTGGTTGCT